GTGCGTGCGTGCGTGCGTGTGTACGTGAGCCCGTGTGTGTATGTGTAACTCTACACTACGTGAGTGTGTGTCCGTCTCCGTCGCTCGCTCTCCCTCTCACTCTCTCGCTCTCTCTCCAGGGGCGGATTCAGACCGTATTTGCCGTATTGGGAAATACGGTCTAGATTTCAAAGTGCCCTTCGAAATTTTGTGCTAAAAAATACAGAAAACAATTTGATGGAATTTGGCTATATTCTTTATTTGTTTTCTTTTACTTCTGATTCATTGACAGCTAGGACTTGAAGGAAATCAACATTTTACATGGTAACAAAACTAACTTTAAGGTTAAAACTTTAAGGTTAAAACTAACTTTGATATCTGAAAAAGAAGGGAGTTAAAATCCCCAGACCCCCCGCCATGTGCTTCCGCGCTTAACGGCGTCCACTGTGGGGTGGTGTGGCCTTTTTGGGGGATGTGCCCTTAAAATCTGGAAAAATACTGTCTAGCTTTAGCCCTGGATCCGCCCCTGTAGAGAGAGATAAATAAATAGATAGATGTCATGAAATTTTGTCGTAATTTTTTATGACTACAACATAGATATCAAACGGTGATGCAAAAGCGTACACGTCAGCAGAGCTTTGTTACTACCGTCACTAGACGGTATCTTTGGTCTGCGGTGATTGCCATGTGCCAATAATACCGTCGTTTCCGTCGAACCACTGTCAGGTGACGCGATCCCGTGCAATCACGTGATCGCACGATTCATTCCCAAGGAGTTCCATTTATTTATGCTTTACTTTAGTTCCTTGTTCATTGCATCATACTTCTACACACTGTGCACATAATATGTGTTGTGTATATCTATGATTGCATCTATGACGACGTGAGTCCTCAGTCATCAGCGAGGCAGAGAGACTGAAAGACCAACGGGGAGGTGTGCAGTCGGAACTCTATCGTCTACTACTACTAGCCTAGTGCAGTGGAGCCGGTGAGTGCCTAATTCTTATTTCGACAATGTTGAATCAGTGACAGTGTGTAGCGATAACTTCAGCTAGTGCTTTTGTTGGACGCGCGATACTATACCTTGGCTTTAGGTTCGATGGCGGGATTGTATTATGACTATGATGACAAAATTAGAGCCTATATATCAATATGATTATGAGTTCTGTTAGTGTTGGTGTTAATTCTGTAGTGACACTAGCTCCAAGAAACGGTATCGCTAGGGTTAGATACCCCTAGACAGATGTATAGACAATCCGTCGCACAGCCTGGTCGGGCTATAGTGACACGTACTCCTACCTTATTTCCATTACATTAGTCATTACATTCCGTTTACATTAATTCCATCGAATTTAAGGCGGACCAAGGATATAGTTTCGGACCCCGCAAATGTGTTTTCGCATGTGCTAAACTAATCCGGGGTGACAAACTAGGCTTAGGCCGGTAATGCTATGATCTAAGACCAAATTTCTAGCCGCAATAACAGTATTTCTAGCAACATTATATGTACCGGTATGCAAAACGCAGATGTCAGGCCATATAGTTGCGTTGAATTTTACGTAACCTGTTTCTGAACTGCATTATGTGCATGCTTGCCGTTGTACGGCGTTTAGTTGCAAGTTTTTCGTGTTCTCAATTCTTACTTTTTAGCTATTCTGCATACATCTGTAATACCCAAGTCTACAGCACTGGGCGCTGTCACAAATTAAGCTAGGTCAGATGTTTTTCCCTGATACTTTGCGATAAAGGGCCTGGCACAGATGCAAAAAACAAGTTTACACTAACGGGTGTATACTTTACCCTTGTGAATAGTACTAGGAGGGCCGTAGCTAGCCGGGTTAGTGCATGGGCACAGGGGCAGTTCGATTCCCCCCCCCTAGAAAAAAAATACAATACATGGTCAAAGGCGGCCACCTTCCCAGAACACACCCATGTACATGGCTTTCCACCTCCAGGAGAAATGGGTTAGCTACACTTCTGACTGTTACTAGTTTAGATATATTTATATATTAATGCCCCCAACAACAGGCATTAATGTTTTTAGTGCATCACATGACTATGCAATCTACTTTTTATGCTTATATACCTTCTTTATACTCCCAAATTTGCCGGTGCATTCGATGTAACAAAACGTTCGACACAAACACAACCGCCGTTCGAAACTCTTGCGTGGCGCCCAGACGCAGGAGATTCGTGACGTGAACACAATGCGTTATAATAACAATGCGTCGCGCAAGCAATAGTGCCCGCTCAGGCGGGCACTATTGCTTCATAGTGCCTGCTGCGTTATCCAATGGGATTTCAACGATTTATCACGTGACGCACTAAATATATATAATGAGACAAATAACTTACCTGATATAGTTTGTTATTCTCTCTACTATGGCTGTCTATATATGTGATCAGGAGCGTATAATGACAAAGGAGTAAGACAACGATTTGGTACTGATTTCACTACTTTTTGTCGTACGAGTTTGAAGTGAATAAAAATAGAAATGTATACAAACATGAGCTTCTTTTGTTCACTGGTCCTTATTCTCTCTTCCGGTAGTATTACAAACCGCGTAGCTTCCTTCGTTTTGACATAATTCGTACTTTTCGACGACATTAGTCCAGCTGTAGAGCACCTAACGTGGTTTTGGCGTCCCCACAAAGTTTTTTTGCGGATTTTATACCTTTATGTAGATCTATGTATTACTAAGCATGGTTATCAAGTGACATTCTGTCAAACATAATATTCTCATTTCGAATCAAATTATTTGCCTAAATAATAAAAAGTTATTATCAAAAAGGTCAAGTGCAATGTTGACACACTGCATGATATCAACAGCAGAAGAAACAACAGTGAGGGTTCATCATAATAAACTCACCTATTTACGATACATACAGATAGTTGCTTGAGTAACACTGTGATGGAGTTTGCTCTGGAGTATATTGTCTGAGTGTGCTGTGGCAAGCCTTTTAAAATGCTGGATGGTAGATCCTGTAACAGCACACACCACACAAACATCACATCAGGAGCGTATAATGACAAAGGAGTAAGACAGCGATTTGGTACTGATTTCACTACATTTTTGTCAGGACGAGTTCGATGTGAATAAAAATAGAAATGTATACAAACATGAGCTTATTTGTTCACTGTCCTTATTCTCTCTTCCGTAGTATTATAAACCGCGTAGCTTCCTTCGTTTTGACATAATTCGTACTTTTCTACGACATGGTTTTCACGTTAGTTACCGTCGCCATAGCTTTTCGCACATGTGTTTTGCATAGCAACCGTTATCTCTAGCCCGCGTACAGTTGCCGCTGGCGCTGCCTGACGCGATCCTCGCCGTGGTCATGACGAGCCTGAAGGCGCCCAACCCTCCTGCACCGAACGACCTTGCCCTCGTCTCTTCTTCTCTCTTCATTCCTCTTCTCGCTTCTTCGTATCCACTTCCTCAGGACTCGCTACACACGCGTTGCCTGGCTCGTTGGAATTGTAGAGCTCGCTTCCATCGTTCTCAACTTTACGACGCCTCATCATTCTGCGATACGCTGCACATCTATTCCGCTGAACACCATGTCGTAGCAAAAGTTGCACTCACGCAATACTCATGTCAAAACGAGGAAGCGACTACTGCGTTTGTAATATACCGGTAAGACGTGAGAATAACAGAGCTCGCACCAGGGAACCAAAAGAAGATACCTTAACCTTTTGCTAATACCGATATTCTATTTTCTTATCCACCTTCAACTCGACTCTCACGACAAAACAGTTCACTCTCACTCTCACTCTCACATTATTAATTATCATAACGGATAAATGGAGAAACCGAGTTGAATATGGCATTGTGATTCTACCATCCACTACTTTTTCCCTTTCACGGAGTAATGTTTATGTGGTGTTACGTTTCTTTTAAGGGGGGAGGGCGTTTATCGTACGTGAAATCATTAGCCAAATCGTTTGTCCTTATTCCTTTGTCATGTATACCGCTTCCTGATCACATATATTAGCAGTACAGTATAGAGTTAGAATAAACAAACTATATCAGTGTAGAGTCATTTGTCTCATTATAATATTATTATAGTGGTCGTCACGTGATAAATCGTTGAGTAATCCATTCGGATACACGCAGCCGGCCACTATGAAGCGAAGGAGACGTTGCGCTGCTCGCTCTGTACGTGGGCACATTGC